CCAAATGTATGGTCATTGGACTGGCGTGCTACGTAAATAAAATCGATTTTAACAACCTACCGAGTCTGCGGGCGAACACTGCTGTCATACCGTTTGTCTCATCTGTGCGTAATCTGGGATTGTTGATGGACAACACGCTCACATGGGATTCACACGTCACGCACACATGCAAGCGTATAAGTAAAGTGCTATACATGCTTAAGTTAAACAGAGCTTCCCTCACTTGCGAGTTGCGAAAACTACTGGTTTCGTCGCTCATTTTTCCACTCGTAGACTACTGTTGCCTTGTATATGGAAGCTGTGGCAGTGGAATCCTACACAAAGTCGAAGTAGCACTTAACTCCTGCGTTAGATTTGTGCTAAATGTTAGACGAGATGAGCACATCACTCCGTATTATATCAAACTAGGTTGGCTAAAAATTAAACAAAGAATCATGCTCTTCCAGGGAACTATGTTATATAAGCTTCGTAGCACTGGCACTCCATCCTACCTGTGTGAATCATTATTTGCAACTTCCAACACTTCTCGAACTTCACGGAGGGCGCGCACAGATATCACTGTTCCACAACACCGAACCGAATTCTGCCGACAATCTTTCAGGGTATCCGGCATAATTTTTTGGAACTCTCTGCCTGAAAGAATACGTGAAGCTCCCTCCCTTGCCGTCTTTCGGCGTTCACTGCGTGAATTTCTGGCTTTGCGGAGAGAATAGGCGCGTTTGCTCCTACCTTGTTTATAAATCACTCGCGATGTGTAGGTCTAGTCTATACGCGTCTCAGGCTACGCTCAATCACTAGTTACTGTACATAAGTATAAGATATACTACTTGTCTTAATAGTTATGGTTGATTTGCTCCGGATCATTCGTGTAAATTTGTAATCGTACACAAATCTACTCTTGTTTACAAGTAGTAATCAGATGAAAATTTATCTATAATCTATCATTAATGTAAATATTGCTTTAAATATTAATGTAATCACTAATTGTATTCGTCGGTGTCTTTGCAGCCTTCACACATAGTTTAGGTGCTAATTTAAGTATACTGTATTACTTGATTTATTATTTTCATACTGTTTTCTGTTAAACCCGACTTGTATTATTACCGGTCAACAGAGCTTGCTCCCTGATCGAATAAATTGTTTAAATTAAAATTAACTTAGAAGGAACAAACTCTATACAGTATTAACAACAGAATGTACAAGCAAAAGGATATAATACACAATTTAAAGTTAGCAACTGCTATCGGACTCAATAAAACTCGAAATATGACACATAAACAATATCAGATAGCACCTCTAGCGCTATCTATCTATTTCTCGCTATCCTAAATATGAGAAACTCACAAAAGTGTCGATCACTACTTTCCTAGTGGCTCCAGTTATCCACAGGAAAATAATCTCCCAGACACCGGGTCCCTCAATTGGGAACGATACGGTACTATACATAATAAAAACTATGCAAACCAAGAACCAACCAGACAAAACAATTAAAAAATATGCAAAACGAGAACACGTGTCTCCATAGGCTCGGCCACACCGTGAATGACGTTACGAATTTAAACAATCGGGAATACAACTGCACTTATCGAGCGCTCGCGATTTTCAATTGTCTTCTTCGATCTTCGAAATACAAATTCCGGCATCGTTGCCTCTTGAAGGAGATTGCATTATTAAATAATGCAATTTAAATTTTACTCCTGAGGTGGAAGTCTCGGCCACGTCTCATCCTTCGCTACGTGTTTCCAGGCTACTACTGCAACCCCCTGGATGCTCTTAGAATCGCGAAGATGGTAACGGCGTCTCCTGGCGTAGGGGCTCCTCCCAGTAGTGCTCTGCGACCTTGGCGGCAGCTCTTGTGGCACCATCGCAATCAAATTTTGTTTGAATCCTTTCGGATCCGCTTAAATGTTTCAAAACACAAAAAAAAGTTCTTACGAAGGAAATTAATAGAACCTTCAAAAGTAGTCTTGTCCATCACCCCAGAATATCTTCCACACGCATAGGTCCCCACGATGTAGCCGAAAATCGCGAAATTCCTCGTTTATTTTAAGGATGCACTAGCATTGGATAATTTAACTAACTTCGCAAAGAGTGATTTCTACAAAAAAGTAAGGGACTTCCAAAAAGTAATGTTAAATCCGAAAAAACGGATAATGACGAACATACAGGACACACAAGAAACAAATAATCTAAAATCAAAAGCAGTGTGACAAATGTGGAATGCCGGAATCGTATTGAACCACTGGGTGAAAATGAAGGAGATCCAATAGACATAAAATGTAATGCAACAGAAACTGATCATATTTCAAAATATAATAAAATATGTCCAAAAAATCACCAGCATTAGCGTTACATGGTAAGATAGAGAAGTATGCAACTTTTCTAAATGTACTAAAGAACGTTGTCAAGGAAAATTTTTATAGAAAATATCAGGAAGGAAACATAGAGGTACATGTAAGTAATCGAGATGATTGTCTAAGGCTTATAGGAAAATGGACAAAAAATAAAATTTCAGACATTCTCTTGAAAGAACGAGAAAAAGAAAACTTACGTTGTCAAGACTTCATGAAGATATCCAGTTACGAGAAATCAAAAACTGAACCAGAAAAACAGAATAAAAAAGTAATTAATGCGAGCATGATGAAGGTATGCAGATACTACTACTAATAGTAACGATGCAAGGTAATATAAAAATTAATTATTTAAATAAAACATTGAAATACCTGTGATATATCGAAGTTTCGTAGAAGAATTCTATTAGCAAAAGAAGAATAACACAATATGATCGTTGTCAAATCACAAGTTGAAACGGTGTAACAGTTCGCACAGCCTTCTTTTTTCCTGGTTGTTAATGATCATAGTAATGAACCATAATATTAAAGAATATAGTTATTTGTGATTCTGCATGCGATGAAATGCAATTTGTTTTTCTAAACTTATGGGCAAGGTCCATACCACGTTGAATACACCAGTTCTCGTCCGATCACTGAAGTTAAGCAACATTGGGCGCGGTCAGTACTTGGATGGGTGACCGCTTGGGAACACCGCGTGTCCTTGTCTCTTTTCCTTTATTTATTTATGCTTTACAAATAATTGAATTACCTAAAACTTGAATATTTATAATTGCTGTACAACTTTAAATAGTCGTGCTTCAGCTTCTAGCACATTCTTTGATAGTCCGTATGGACTTACTCATATCACTATTCCTTTTACTTTTATTCTATGGACTTTTCAGAGGTATACTTTCTTCCCAACAATGTTCATTTTAATCTGTAAATGAAATAGTTCCTGTTATTGGTATCATATATACATATATAATTTTCGCTTTTTATTTGTCGTGGAGGAATGTTGATCGTCACAAACATATTTTTGTTGCACAATTTTATATCAAAATTTTTATTTTGTTATGCAAAAATTAATAATAACTACCTGAAGAGAATCCTGATCAAGAGTAAAAACTTCATAAGAGTACGCACAGTTTTCTCATTTTTTGAAAATTACTCATTGGGAAAGATGTGTCAAACGTATTCTTAACCTTGCAGGATGTGTGCGTAACTCCGGTTTGGGAAAGAAACTTTGTAAAAATCCTCTTATTTGAAATTTTCGTTAACGTTTTACCTACATTGTAGATAAAAGTCTAAAGTCCCTTTAAAAAGACTTAATTGAAGGTAGGATTGAAACGTCGTATGATTTTTTTTTAATATTGGCAGACTTGGTTGATACGAAGGACAAGATAATATATTTACTTTTCTTATAATTTACATAATTATATTATACTCTAAGTATAAATATTCTATAAATATAATATATCTTAAGTAATGTCTGCGAATAATGTTCAGTCAAGATCGTTATCTCCAACGTAGAACTTGAGGCGTCTTAAAGCTATCTTGTGACAAAAGCTCTTTTCGTCAGCGATTACTGATAATGAACATCAGCAAATAACTTGCGGGCGTCAATATATTATTAAACAATTGACCTCTGTCTACTCTTTCCTCACACGCATTGAGCAATAATCAGAAACCGAGTTCCAGTACTGCCATAACTGAACCTACTGTGTTTCATGGCGACGAAGAATATTTGTCTCTTTTGTTTATTGTCTTCATAAGAATTGCTGAAATATCTGAATTAAGACTCCTCCGGACCCAAACTAGCCGTCTTGAATAATGATATTACACGCGAGGAAACGTGTTTTTCACCTTATATAGAATCTATGAACTTTCCGTGACTTACTTTAAATGAATTTGTTGCCACATATGCGTTGGCTGATATAATAACGAAGCATAGATTTCGGCGGACGGATGGAAAATACACTGTGTAACAGTTTCACGATAATTTTATTAGCCGTCCAGCTATGAATTTTCAAACTTGCACCGGTTACAAAAAGAACACTTATGTATCTTGGACATACTCCAGTCCATTAGAAACCGTCAACTGCTGTAGTAACATCCTATATTATTATGACTCACCTTCTATTATCTCTATATTCATTCTTCTTGAATCAAATAATTAAACAGCCAAATAACGGCTATTGCTCATACTTTTGTTTTTTATCGACCTGGATCGATGAGTTTCCGATTCTACAACATGATAACAAGTATATCATATTCCAACTTCTGATCTGGGTCCGCAGGCGCATTAAGTACAGGTGCCTCTACAGTACTCGTTCGACAAGCGAAGCAACAATGAATAAAAAGGTAGCGGTTGAACGTTTATGTAGCACAGAGGGCGCTTCCTGCGCTCCAATCCCGTTGCGTCTCACCGTTGGCGTTGCAAGCGCTAGCGTATCATATTCCAACTTCTGATCTGGGTCCGCAGGCGCATTAAGTACAGGTGCCTCTACAGGGCACTGCCTTTTACGAGGGTATTTAACAATCAGTTTCTCTTTTTATTCGGCGTTCAATTCATGTTCAATCCAATACTTCCACCTAGATACCATCGAAGAATTGTAATGTATCTTTCGTACGAGTGACTTTGTGTGATAATAGACTGATCGAAGCATCATGCCACCTAAAGCAAGCGGAAAGGCAGTGAAGAAAGCTGGGAAGGCCCAGAAAAACATCAGCAAGACCGACAAGAAGAAGAAACGCAAGAGGAAGGAAAGCTATGCCATCTACATCTACAAGGTATTGAAGCAAGTACAAGTCGATTGGGCTGAAGTAGCGACTTCCGCAGTGTTGTACTGCAACTGTGGGAAATCATTCTAAAAATCTTTCAGGTGTAAAAAAGTATACTACTGCCTTCTAGTATGAAGAGAATTCCAGTTACAATGAATTAAATACGTGTAACAATGAAGAGAATTCTATAATAAATGCCTTAAAACTGATTTTCGGACAATGTGCTATCTTGGAGTACCGGTGGAGTAGTTCAATTTATGTATTGGTATGCTTTATATAAATTTCATTCTATGAATATAATGCATTAACTGTTTTATAGTCAGTATTAACAGATGAAGGAACACAGCGACCGAATAGTGAATCAGGCAAAAACCGGTCCTTTTCAGGACCATAAAAAGTTCTTACGTTAGCTTCAACATTTACGACATACTCTCTACAAGATTCTCAAGTATATCTAAGAGATTCTGCGAAAGAATATCAGTTAGATTCTTCGAGAGAATCTCTGCTGTACTTTTTTATTCTACGCGGGTTCTTAACGAATTTTCCCTCCTCATATGAAATCTATAACCTCTTATGCTCTACTTCGTGATAGATAGTTCAATTTTGATGTAACATCATACAGTTTCATGAGTATCGTTTTATTTATTTTTGACTTTATAACATTGTACGTTTTAAAGCAGCTACGGAATTGGGAATACCGATGCATCAAAGACAGAAAGATCAGAGTAGTTCAGACTTCGAGAGAAGCAACATTACGATTAGAAAAAGATCAGTTAAGGGTAACATATACAGTGAAGAATATTCCGTTACAGAATATGATTGACCAACAGAGGTTCAAAGACTAAGAATTTTAATTTTCTCAACGTAAAATCTTTACTAAACTAGAAAAAGAACTTGAAAATCACTTGTCAGTGAATGAACCTTAAAATCCCTTAAATAAAGAAAATAAACGTTTCCGCTATTACATAAGTTCAAAGTAGAAAAAGAACTTGACAATCACTTATCAGTGAATAAACCTTAAAATCCCTAAATTAAAGAAAATAAACGTTTCCGCTATTACACAAGTTCTCTTGCTAGAGTTATGAATACTAGGGAAAATATTTAAATTGCAAGTTATTAGCTCTAAAATATTGATTCATATGGAATCAATCACGTCTGAGAAATGTTAACAGAGTAAAAACAATATTTACTGCATAAAGAAAATATTAAATAAGATATATGTCGGCTAAAGTATAGTAAAATGTATGTGAGTGGGCATGTTTGATTAAATTCAGAAACGTCTTTCAGAGTATAAACGGATGTGCATGTTCCTCGAAATAACAGAGTGTTGGTCCTAAAAAGGACCGTTATTATTTTATATGCCTTCGGTATTTAGGCACGTTCTCCACGAATACGGCGAGCCAACTGGATGTCCTTTGGCATGATGGTGACACGCTTGGCGTGGATGGCACACAAGTTGGTGTCTTCGAAGAGGCCGACGAGATAAGCCTCGCTAGCTTCTTGAAGTGCCATCACGGCTGAACTCTGGAAGCGAAGGTCCGTCTTGAAGTCCTGAGCGATCTCCCGAACCAATCGCTGGAAGGGCAGTTTGCGAATGAGCAGCTCCGTGCTCTTCTGATAGCGACGAATCTCACGCAGAGCGACGGTTCCTGGTCTGTAGCGATGAGGCTTCTTAACTCCTCCGGTAGCTGGTGCACTTTTACGTGCAGCTTTCGTAGCCAATTGCTTCCGAGGAGCCTTTCCTCCAGTTGACTTGCGAGCAGTCTGTTTCGTACGAGCCATGTTCAACTAATATATCTTTCACTGTGAGCGTCGGTAGAACTTCACACCATAAGTTTCAAACGCAGTATGACAGCGTCAACTTTGGTCACTGTATTATAGACTCGCCCAATTGCTGAGCTCGACGCTCATTGGCCAGTCGGTAAGTGGTGGGGATACGCATAGGAGAGAGGATAAATACCCCTTGAATCTTAGCTATTGCATCAGTTCTACGGAATATTTCTTAAAGAGGGTTTGGATTGAATTTCGTTGGTGAAAATGACTGGCCGTGGTAAGGGAGGAAAAGGTTTGGGAAAGGGAGGAGCGAAGCGTCACAGGAAAGTTCTTCGTGACAACATCCAGGGAATCACGAAGCCTGCCATTCGCCGTTTGGCTCGCCGAGGCGGTGTTAAACGTATCTCTGGCCTGATTTACGAAGAGACCCGTGGTGTTCTTAAAGTCTTTCTGGAAAATGTCATCCGTGATGCAGTTACGTACACCGAGCATGCCAAGAGAAAAACCGTCACTGCCATGGACGTGGTCTATGCGCTGAAACGTCAAGGACGCACTCTCTATGGCTTTGGTGGTTAATTTGTTTCTCCTGTTCTCAACTACTCTTCGTACACAAGGGCCCTTTTGAGGGCCGCCAACTTTTTCAATATGTGAATGGAACAAACCGTTTTATCATAATAGTTTAATTATAATTTAATTTTAATTCTTCACCTCTTCTACGAATCAAGATTTAAATTATATTATGGTTTCCGTTCATGTAATAATACACCTAATACCTATGTAATTATTCTTGCAACAGTGTTTTTAATAACTTCCATGTTTTATATGTTCGTCTGTTAACCGTCCGGTCAATAACCAAACTCACCATTCGTTCAATGACCGGGTACCCACTTACTGCGCGCCACTTGGCTTAGCGGTTCCAGTTAACCTTGTGGAATATAAAATAACAATAGCGAAACCGAACAATCATTGGGTACCTGGGTACCCCGTTATTACTCCGTGCCAGTTGGCTATCCGGTTGCAGTTAACTTTGTGGGGTATAAAATAGCAATAGCGAAACCCAACGATCGTCAGTCGTAAGGTAGTTTTGGAACCGAGCAGATGCTAAAGCAAGTTTTCTGTGAAGTGTAATAGAGAGAACAAAACTATAAACTACAACATTTCTTGTGACGGTGAGACAAAATATACAAATTTATAAATATTATAAATAAATAATCGTATTGATTATCGATACGATGGATGATTCATCAAGTTTTTACCGGTAAGCTTATATAATTATTCTTGCTATAGTGTTTTTAATAACTTCCATGTTTTATATGTTCGTCTGTTAAACACAAAGGTTTGGTCTTGGATTCTGATAATGGTTAAAGTTCATCTTTACATTACTTATTCAACTCATGTGTGATATTAATATATATGTATAAATTACTGAATTACTTAACATATTCTAATGGCCTCGATAGGAGTTTGACTTATGCGCTTCAAAGTCTGGTAGGTATGTCGATTCTTCCTGAAAACAATGGAACATAAGAGAATCCATTCACAATTAAGTCTGGCACTAAAAGATCGATTTGCAATAATCGATTGTGAAGTCGATTTTTTAAAACGCTGTTCACTGTACATAATTATAATATAATTAAAATGAAAAAATAAGAAACATTATTTACAGCTTCTCTTTTTTCTTCAAAGCATAAGAAAATACGAGGAAAAGCAGAGAACAAAATCTTTGACCACCGTTACCATTACTGTTAGAATGATTAATAACGCCACCTGAATAACATAAGGATGCGTTCCAAGATAGCATACACATGTCTTAACCCTTTTAGTGCCCGGCGAAAAACCGGTGCCTATGCGAGAATAACCGGACGAATTTGACGAATTTTACAACGGGTTGGGAAAAAGGTCATAAAAATCAAACTAAAAATGATAATTACATAATTCAAAAAACAACGTATTACGGAAGAAAGAGAGAATAATGTCATGCTAATTGTATTTCAATATTTATTTTGAGATAGAGCTTTCTCGCGATGCGAAGAATAAGGTGCCATCGCATACGCAACGATATATCGTCGTCCGGCACTAAAAGGGTTAAGGCATATTCCGTAATTGAACCATGGTTGCAGTGATTAAATTTCAGCCAATGACATCGATAGATTTTTATCATCAGTCGAAATCAATCGATGCAATTAGCTGTAATTTAATAACGGCAACCGTGGTTCATTTACGGAATATTCCGTCAATAAATATCTTTTTACAATATAATGATTCGCCTGTAACGTGAATCGGTCCGCTTCTTAGGGTTTTGGGTTTCTTTCTGATTTTCGGTTTCTGACTGGATTCAGTGTTTCAGATCGACCTGAAAAATGGTTTTTATTTTCCAAAAGAATCTATTTTCGATTAATCGATCTCAGATCGACAGGCCTAGTCCTTCAGGATTCACCCATAATCAATAATATATATTATAGATTCATTGAACGCGATTGACGGTATACTAAGGTGAGGAAGAAAGGCAATTGCCTTTCGTAAATTGATTTGATTCAATTTGTTCAATTTGATTTTTGTTCGAATATTAAACCTGTTCAATTTCTTAGTGGGAACAATCAATTCCACTTAAAGGATCATTTTAATGCAACTCGCAAGTTAAGATGGTCCTTTGAATATGAAATTAACATAGTCTGAGCATACTTTAGACATAATTTAACACTAATGTAGAAATATTAATCAATGATGGCATCAGTTACATTGTGATTATTAAAGTAAGATATAACTAAGCTGAATATTTATACAATGTTCAAAGTCTGGTAGGTATGTCGATTCTTCCTGAAAACAATGGAACATAACAGAATCCATTCACAATTAAGTCGGGCACTGAAAGATCGATTTGCATTAATCGATTGTGAAGTCGTTTTTTTAAAACGCTGTTCACTGTACATAATTATAGTATAATTAAAATGAAAAAAATAAGAAACATTATTTACAGCTTCCCTTTTTTTTCAAAGCACAAGAAAATACGAGGAAAAGCAGAGAACAAAATCTTTCACGTCCGTTACCATTACCGTTAGAATGATTAATAACGCCACCTGAATAACATAAGGATGCGTTCCAAAATAGAATACACATATCTTAAGGCATATTCCGTAATTGAACCACGGTTGCAGTGATTAAATTTCAACCAATGACATCGATAGATTTTTGTCATCAGTCGAAATCAATTGATGCAATTAGGTCTAATTTAATAACGGCAACCGTGGTTCATTTACGGAATATGCCGTCAATAAATATCTTTTTACTATATAATGATTCGCCTGTAACGTAAATCGGCCCGATTCTTAGGGTTTTGGGTTTCTTTCTGATTTTCGGTTTCTGACTGGATCCAATGTTTCAGATCGACCTGAAAAATGGATTTCATTTCCCAAAAGAATCTATTTTCGATTAATCGATCTCAGATCGACATGCCTAGTCCTTCAGGATTCACCCATAATCAATATTATATATTATAGATTGAACGCGATTGACGCTATACTAAGGTGAGTGAAGAAAGGCATAATTTTCAATTTGATTTTTGTTCGAATTTTAAACCTGTTCAATTTCTTAGTGGGAACAATCAATTTCACTCAAAGGATCATTTTATTGCAACTCGCAAGTTAAGATGGTCCTTTGAATATGAAATTAACATAGTCTGAGCATACTTTAGACATAATTTAACACTAATGTAGAAATATTAATCAATGATGCATCAATTACATTGTGATTATTAAAGTAAGATATAACTAAGCTGAATATTTATACAATATTTTGTGTATCAACACAGATAAATAAATCAGTATAGATAAAGTTGTTGGTATGTAAAAACATGAGCAAAAACTATCGGCAAGGTCCATACCACGTCGATCCATGTCATAATCGATCGCAGATCGACATGCCTACTCGCAAGCTAAGATGCTCCTTTGAATATGAAATTAATGTAGCTTGAGCATATTTTAGAAATAATTTAACACGAATATAGAATTATTAATCGGTGGTGACATGAATTATATTGTTGTTATTATTAAAGTAAAATGTAACCGAACTGAATATCTATACAATTTCGTGTGTATAAACACAGATGATTATGTACCATAAACAAAGACGATTCTATACGAAGACGTATCTAATTATTACCGGCAAGGTCCATACCACGTTGAATACACCAGTTCTCGTCCGATCACTGAAGTTAAGCAACGTTGGGCGCGGTCAGTACTTGGATGGGTGACCGCTTGGGAACACCGCGTGTCCTTGGCACTCTTTTGTTCTTTTACATTTTTTTGTCGAATCGTATTCAAAAAAGCTTTTTAAGCGTCTAAGAATTCATATAAATAACAAAATATAAAGAATTTCATCAATTACATGATTATTACGAAATGCTATTGCGTAACAGCTTTATCTGTCCTTCACAGATATGGCGACTAGAAATACATTATAAGTTTTAAACTAACAAATATAGATATTTCTTTAATTCTCATTATGTTAAGTACCACCCTAAATGTAAATATTCTAAACAGTGTATGAAAGTTTCTAAATATTAAAATTTATTCTATCGGCAAGGTCCATACCACGTTGAATACACCAGTTCTCGTCCGATCACTGAAGTTAAGCAACGTTGGGCGCGGTCAGTACTTGGATGGGTGACCGCTTGGGAACACCGCGTGTCCTTGCCCCCCCGACCCTCTTCTTTTACTATTTTAAATCTATACTCCACAAGTAATAGAGTTACATACAATTGTGATATTGGGGTTACTTAATGCGAAAGTGGTGCCTTTTGATTTTCAACCTTGCAGAATGTTCGCTCAAGTTTAGTTTGTAAAAAAACTTCTGTAAGAATTCTCTTATTTAAGATTTTCGTTTACATTATATGTACATGGTAAATAAAAGGTCTACAATCCCTTTAAAGAAAACCCAAAAGGCAGGATTAAAATGTGTTCATTTTTTGTATCAATTATAGTAGCTGATTTTGTTGATAAGAAGGCCAACATTATATATTCAAGTTTTCTTATAATTAGTATAATTATATTATTTAGAAATAATTTAACACCAATATAGAAATATTAATCGATGGTGACATGAATTATATTGTTGTTATTATTTAAGTAAAATTTAACTGAACTGAATATTTATACAATTTCGTATGTATAAACACTGATGAATATGTATCATAATCAAAGATTTATGTACGTAACACGTATCTGAATTCTGTCGGCAAAGTCCATACGACGTTGAATACAGCAGGTCTCGGTCTAACACTTCAATGAAAAAAAACCAATGTTTCCTATCACACATACACTGCCAAAAGTGAGAAAGGAAGAACGTTTGTCATACGAGAACTTCGCAAAGCCACAGATACGGAAGACATCAAAGCAGAATTGGAAGCATACGAGCTCGAACAAATAAAAATCAACATACTGAAAGCGACCAAAGAACCAATATTCATGGTAACCCTACGAAACGATGTCAAGCTCACCTATCTGCAAAAACAGATTTTGTACATGTATCACACGAAAATCAACTAGGCAATCTATAGATCCAAAAGACTGGTTACGCAATGTGACAACTGTCAGAAATGAGGACACGCCACGTCCAATTGCTATTTTCCACCCAGATGTCTAAAATGCGCAGAAAAGCACACGACAAGAGAATGCAAGAAAACAAGAGACACACCAGCGACGTGTGCGAAGTGTGCTGGAGACCATCCGTCAAATGCAACGTTATGCCAGGCATATCAAGAAAGACTTGGGAAACTTAACGCCAATAAGCGTAAAAACGAGTAAAACCCGCAGAATCCACTGAAAACACCGCTAAACGTTGACAGCAGGACGGATTTCCCAACAATGAGGACTACTCCACCGTTATTAGATACTGCACAACTGCACTGGACGAAAAAGACTACAACTGCAGAGGTAAACAATACGAAAGTAAATACGAAAAATGAAATTCTATCCGACTTTCTAGAGATAATGAATAAAATTAACATACTTAATTCATAATTTCATGTAACAAATATGATTACACACGTCAAGAATCTCAATCTAAAACTAAAAAGTTGTAACAGAAAAATGCAACAATTCGAATATTTCTATAAATTCTGCCAAGAAATTAATAAATAATGCACAAACTTTCAATATGCAGCTGGAACGCAAATGGAATTAGAGATAAATTAAGCGAAGTCAACCAATTTCTAAATGATAATAATATTGATATCTTACTTATCAATGA